GGTATGTGTATGTACATGTGTGTGTGTGTGCATGCAAAATTGCAAATACATATTAATATAAGAAGGTAAAAAAATAAAAAGGTAGGTGAAAAATAGAACTATTTATCTTCTTCATTGAGGCTGTCCATAAAATAACTGTTCAATTGATTCAATTATTCATTCAGAATTGTACATGATATGGTCATAAATAATTGGTTTTGTATTACCCAGTGTTAATTAGTGATGTGTTAATAACTGAACACAATTATTGTCTCCTATTGATAAACATTTAAATTGCAGTCCATTATAGTATAATCTTTGAACTGTTCAAGCCTAAATATGCTAGTACTTCCCACTAGTTTCTTTGCCTTTGTTTTTCTTCCTAGATTGTATTTTTTTGCCTTTCAATTATTTCTTATAAAAGTGGTAGTGCACTTTCCTTAGCTTGTTTATCTGTTACATTGTTTCAGTTTGGCTAGTTTCTTAAAATAGTGCATCGTTAAATAACCATAATCTCTAGGATTGGATTTAATAAAAACAATAACCCAAAATAAGTATCTGAATAACTTCCAACATTTTAAAGGTTTAGATATATTTTTATTGTACAGTGCAAACAAAATATTTAAACAAAACTTTATGTATACAAGTGGGGGGTACTTTGATTTTAAAAGTCAGTGTGGGAATGTCATAGGCTCAGTTGGCTTTTGGCCTCAAAGGTGAATTGTTGTTCATTTGTTGTATGTTTGCTCCTGTTAGCATATGCTCTGGATTCCATTTCAAGTAGCCTTAGCAAAAGAGCTGCATCTGTAAGCCCATCTGAGGTATCTGCACATTATCTGCACATTTTCTCCTTCTGGAGCAGGTTGGGGAGGGAGGTGATTGCTGGACCAGGCTATTAATAATATTTTCTTACAGAATGGGCAAGTTGTAAAAATTAATTTTCTAAGCATGCTTCAGTTGCTAATTTATTTTGATTTTGCCATGTAAAGGTGGCAGAACTAGGTAAAGCAAGTATTGATAGAATTTCATGGAGTTCTTTGATATCATTTTCTTTTGTTTTATATCTCAAAAATAGAGAATGATATTCACAGGGAACGAGATTTTACAGAATGTATGATTTTAGGAGATTTCAAATTTTAGAATAGTTTAACTACTGTTATGTTGTTAGTTTATGGATTAATATATTTATTTTATTTTATTACTTATGCCTTTGAATCATTATGGATGTCTGGTGACTGCCTGGACTAACCCCTGCAGTTTCCTTGGCAAGGTTTTTCAGAAGTGGTTTGCCATTTTTGCTGAATGATTTCTAAATTTATTGATTAAAAATGGTCTGAATATGGCATAGTAGAAATCTTTGTAATATAATCTTAAAGAGGGAGGATGAATAGTCAATTTGTAATCATTACCATTTGTATTTATATACAAATCTTCAATAAAGATTATGTCTTAAAAAAGGAAGTGATTTGCCATTGCCTCTTTTCTGACTTTGTGCCTTAGGCAGAACTAGAACTCATGTGCCAGGTTTCTAGCCTGATCCCCAACTGGCTCTCTTAATATATTCTACACTATAATAAGTCAGATACCTCAGATGGGCTTATAGAATGTGTGCAAAATCCAGGACCCTTGACTCCCAAGGAATAAAAGTTGGGAAAGTTGTGGCTGCTTCAGTGTTACTGGCTTCTGCTCGCTTTTGCATTGCTGCTACTGTCGTGTCATCTTCATTGTCAGTGTTCTGAGACAGATTCTCAGCCAGTCTCACATTCCCTCCCTCGGTCCCTCATCCAGCAGTAACCTCTTACCTTCCTGCTGGCAAGGGAAGGGAGATATTTATTTGTGTCCTGCTTTTATTATTTTTAGAAATCACTAAGGTAATGAACATATCCAACACACCTTCCTCCTCCTATTTTCCCCACAACAATCCTGTGAGATGGATTGGGCTGAGCTTGAGAGAGTGTGACTGGGACAAAGTCACACAGCTGCGTTCATGCCTAAAGCGGGACTAGAGCTCACAGTCTCCTGTTTTCTAGCCTGGTGTCTTAATCACTAGCCAAACTGGATCTCCAATATCCAGTGTTCCCTGCCAGATTCTCACAAGGAAACTCAATGGAAAAACCGGCAGGAAGTTAGAAGTTGCTCTTGCTTTTTTGCCTGTCTTTGGCTATTCTTTGGTTATTCTGTTTCTGTGTTTTCAGGGAAATGTCTCTGAAGAGATGATCCAATGGGGCATGGGTTGTCAAGTATTATATACTGATTAATTTTGTTCTGCATTTAATGATCCCTATCCTATTGTTCTATTCACATTAAAGGATATTTCTACCAAGTCTCCTTTCCATTTGTAATCCCTGCATTATGTCCTACATATTTCTCCAAAAGGCTTTGATGACATGGCTATGCCAATTAGTTTGGACCCCAATGGAAGTGCGACAGTTTGGAGTAGATAACACCTCACCTGCTTCCTGTTCACATTTTGTTCCCTCCCTCTCCATCCTGGTTAATTTTATTTTACTTGACTTTTATTGTTTTAATGTTTTATAGTGCATTTTAATCAAATGTCTATAAGCCACTTAGAGTCATCTCTTGCAAGATGAATGGCATACTATCACAAGATTCCCTGTTGGGGTACACAAGGCTGAGGGTGGAGATGGAAAGACTAAGTCTATCCAATTAATTTTACCCCCTTTCATGTGTAAGAATGATACCAAAATGGCATTGGCACTTTCTCATGTATGTTTCCATAATGCTGAGGGATTTCTAGCGGCTTTGTATACAGAGTCAATTCAGAAATTAATTGATTCAGTTAGTCAATTGCCTCTAAAGGAAATGCTGAAAGATAGTTGTGTAGCATTTTCTCTGTAGCTGCAGGGTAGGCAGTTCCCGGTCTCATTTTGCTTTCTGGCTCATGAGATTATTTCTTTGCTTCCCAGACTATAGATATTACGATGCTTTGTTGCTGTTTCAGGCTACTTAGCAGAGGAACTTTGCTGCATTCCAACAGAGTAGCAGCTGGGTTTGGGATGGGGGGGGGGGGTTATTTGTTTCTTGCTATAAAAGTGAAATACAGCAAGGAAGGAACAAGAAGGAGGATGGAGTGTTTTGCTATTTTTAGTGTTTCCCCATTGGCTAGTTAGAGGAGTACTGGCTCAGGAATAGGTGGAAACATTTTCTGAGTGCACCACAAAATCCTGAAAATTTTGTTAATAGTTGGTGGGATGGTGAAGCTGGCAATTGTGTGGAGGAAGCTTCTGTTTTTTTCACAGAAAAAAGACAGAAGTAAACCCAAGCATTGCTTGCCATGCAAATAATACCCTCTCAGTGAATGGTCTTCTATTGCTTTGTGTCCAAAGAATGACTGTGTCATAAATACTCTATTGGATAAAATTTAAATGTAGTGATATAGGATATCTTAATTGTTTTTTCCCCCAGTACCAAGTACAATATTTACCCATTTTTATTCTCCCTTACAGCATATAGTACACTATTTTTTTCTTTTAACTCACTCAGATTCTGTATACTCCTACTGTATTTTCATTATGAAGATGTAGAATTCTAAAATACTGTATATTCACAAGGAATGTCTAGTTTAACTGAAGAACTGCAGCATGTTGATTTTCTCATGGCTGTTCTTTTTCTTTTTCTTATTAAAACTGATGTCTCAAGGCATGTTAAAATATAATATTAAAAGCTTGACACAGTAACATGGATTTGTACTGTTTTAGGAAACCATTATATATGTTAATTTATTTAACTGAAATGTGTAGTACAGTAAAATATTTTCGCTTACGCATTGATGCTGAGTAGTTAAGTCTTTGCTGGAACACATTGTTTTCAGCATTTGTAAATAAACTTGACATGTGAATGTAAATATCTAGAGGGATTTGAATAGATTCCATTAACTCCATTTGCTTGAAGATGGGTGTTACAGAGGCTAGGTGATTAAATGAACTCCCATTGAGGCATGGATTTTTCTTTTTTTACATTTGAAAGCTTGCTTTAAAAAAAAAACACCTCCGCCTCAAACCACATGAAAAATCTCAAGCACTTTGGACAGTGCTCCGTCATAATACAGCATACTAGCCGGAAATACCAGTTTATCTGGATTTAATTATTAAGCATCCACAATGCACATTCAGAACATAATAATAAAAATGCCTCTTTCATTTAATTTATAAGGAGCATTTGTGATCAGCAGAACACAAAGGGAGTAGTTTCTGAAAAAATAGCTGCTAAGTAATTTCTGTTTTTTCAAGCAATATAGGTAAAAGCATTATTGTATGGGTATGTTTTTTAGTCATTAGACTATATTATATGTTGATCTCTTATTGTTATGTGACTTTAAACGATCAGTGTCACATTTGTTTGTTCCTTGTTTCTGTAATAGGAGGCTTTTTGTATGGAGAAATAATTCAAATTACAAGGTTCCAAGCTTGACAGGGTTCTTGGAAACCCAAAAGAGGGAATCTTGTTAAGCACACAATGTGCAATGTAATACAGATAAAGTAGGAGACAACAAAGTGTGTAAGTTCCTAAGCATGCATCAACTTTGACAATTCATTGGATGAATTCACTAACAATTGCTGAATTTAAGAAGTTAGAAAGGGAGGAAATATTTAGGTCAACAAACCCATTCATATGACAAACTGCCAAAAGATTTATTTACAGTAACATCATGTGATGTTAAACTCTTGAAGCCAATAATCTAAGGTGATGTATATAGTACATTATTCAGTTTACTGGCTCAACGGTAAAAATGTCTTTAAACAAAAAACTAGGTTTCTGTTGCTGGGATAAAGAAGGTAGACTAATTATCTGAACATTGCAGTTTTGGTGCCTGCTTCATATTTCACCTTTTAAAATGAACCTTTCCCCCCTCCTTCCTTCTTGTTACAGGTTGCTATGGGAATCTTATGATAATCTGAGAGGAAGTAAGTCCTGATAATATTGCAGTTATTCATGATGTGCCTGGAGTGAAGAGGAAGGGAAACACTTCATATATCTAAGTGCCAAGGCTCTGCTGTGTCATGGCTACAGACTCTGGTGAATCAGCCAGCACAGAAGAATCAGAGAAACCCGATGGAGTTTCTTTAGAATGTATGAATCCTTCTGTTGATGTTACTTTGACCATGGAGGCCAGGACCAAAGAGGGGCTTAGCACACCTGCTTCTGGGGCAATTGTAGAAAGAAAAAGGTTTTTCCGAAAAAGTGTGGAGATAATGGAGGATGAAAAGGACTTGGAACTTACTCCACGGAATGAGCAAGAACAATTTATCTTGGATGATCAGAGGATGATCCATCTTTCTGCTAGTACACTTATAGCTGAGCAAGAAGCCAGAAATGAGCAAAACTCAAAGGCGATTATGGAAGCCACGAAGGAAAGGATGAAGAAGGAGATAGAAGAAGAGGCAGAGATGAAGGCTGTGGCTACATCACCTGGTGGAAGATTTCTGAAATTTGACATTGAGTTGGGAAGAGGAGCTTTCAAAACTGTCTTCAAGGGTCTGGACACAGAAACCTGGGTAGAAGTTGCTTGGTGTGAACTGCAGGTGAGTGTGGATGAGCTCCATCCGTCAGTGAGCTAATTGTATGCTCTGATTTTAACCACTGAGAGGTATCTAGATGTGCTGAACTTTATGGCTGCCTTGATCATATTATATAAAGTATGTCATGGCTCCTAATGGAATATCTACCAGGTTTTTGTATTATTAGAAAAGTAGGACTTTTAAAAAAAGTTGTTACGGTTGCACATAAGTATGATGGCAATTTCAATAAATACCTAGAAGGCAGACATAATTTGTAATTTGGAGGGTGAAGTCCCGATCTCTCAACCAGTTCTGTTAGCTATTTCATATCTTCATACTTCTTCTTTCATACGCTGGGAAAACCTCCAAAGTGAGCAAATCCTGCCCTCCATCAATGAGAACAAAACCCGAGCTGAATTGTACAGCAACTGAAATCTCAATTATATATACTCAGGAACCTTTGAACAGTTTTATGTGATTTACGAGATTGCAGTTTATTGTAGTTTAAAACACTTTAGAACATCAAATGACTGGATTTATTTTCCTTTTTAGGAACTCTCCTGAGTTGAAATTCTTTCATACGAACTTTGATAATGTATACTTGAATGAAATAATTAAATGTAGTTGCTTTTTTTTTTTAAAGTAGACACAGAAAACGAGTTCCAAAATAATTTAAGCATAGATCTGCAACATGTAAATTCAAGTTCTTTAATAGTATAATGTGCAGATGTGGGTTTCTGATTCATTAGTAGTCTGTTATATAGTGGCTGACTAGAATATGTAACTATGGCTTGTGGGTGGTCTCTTCCTGGCTTCTACCCAATGGAAAAGAGTAGAAGAAATGACCACAACATGAAAATATTCCTATAATATCTCGCTGGTGTTTTTACCACAATATGAAGTATTGGGTATTGGATTATCCACAATAATCTAAGTAAATGTCGGGCCAATATTGGCTTGCAATTAAGAAAATTAAAAACCAAGAAGCATTTTACATTTGGAAGCTGGTCCTTCTTGGTTTTGTCAGTCAAATTAAGTACTTGGAAGAACAGCTGGTCACATGTTAAAGCTGTATTGGCAGTTTCTATCAAAAAGCACAGTATCACTCAGGAAAAGACAAAGTTGGAAAGTGTTAAACTATCGAAGGGGAAAACAACATGAGGCCTCAGTGCTTGTGGTCAGGATTAAGGCAGCAGAATATGGTTAAAGATAAATCTGACCTACATAAGCATGTAACACTTAACCTGAATGAAATATATTGCAGGATCCAATCTGGGTTAGTCACTGGGATCAGAGGTTTCGTTTTCTGAGCTTTAGGACTCATGCTGGAGTCCATCCTCAGGGAACTGAAAGCTTGAAAGACTAAACCTCTGGTCCCGGTGACCTACACAGATTGAATCTTGCTACATTATCCTGGGACAGTATATTTGCATTCATTCATAAAGTATATTGTATTGTACTTGTTGTAGTGGTGGGAGAATGCAAGGCTAATAATGCTGAACAAGGGATGTGTGAAGTTTTTTATCAGTAGGGGTTTGGGGATTTTTCTGCCTTCTGCTTTTTCCCCTCTGCCTGTGCTTCTCTTTCTGAATTCTTATTGATTCCCAGGCTTCCCTCCTGTTATCTCTAAAATCCTTTTCAAGCCCTCTGTCCCTGTGGCCATCTTGTAAGTAGCCTACTAAATGTTGGGTTCTGTCCCTGTGGCCATCTTGTAAGTAGCCTACTAAATGTTGGGTTCATGCAAATTGTTACATAGCTATTATCTGAGGACTTGCATAACAAAGAAAGGCTCTTTATTTGGAAAAATACCCTTATTTCTTTAGGCTTTGCACAATTTCCTGATTTTTTTTAATTTGTTCCACTAGAAAAGGAAAATTGTAAAAGGGTCTTTTAAATCATTCATTTCAGCTTGCCTCCCATTTTTTCTGTTTCAGATAGTATTCCTATGATTTGTAGGAGAACTTGATACAAGGAAAGAAAATGTTCCTGTGTTCTTTTGTCTAGAAAAAAGGTTGCAAGATGTAAGGATGAGAAGAAGTCACAATAGTTGATGATACAAAAATACTGGTTTTCTTTACACCTTGCTACTCTCCCCATCTGTGCTGGCAAAATGTTATGGAGGATAAAGAGGGAGACAGATTTTTTTTTGAATGGTGTAGTATTAGAAAGTGATTAGACATTGTAACGCTTGATAAGTCTGCTGTTAGCTGTAATACTTTAAATAAACCTACAGGTTTAAAGCCAGTTGCTTGGGTTCACCAGCTTGAGAATTTCTTGGAAGCAACTGACTGGCTGTTTCTTCATTTCCTGGCAATATATGTTCAGGCCGACTAGGAATGTTGATAGAGGTAGTCACAGTTCATTTGGAAGACCACCACTATTGAAAATTAATGCAGTGTGATTCTTATGATCTTATAAACAATAAGATTTTTGACTTTTCTCCAAAGCAACTATTACTTTTTAATTTGTATTTTTTATTATTTCTGTTGGTTTGCAATACTAATTAAATTTATGTTTAAATTTAAATTTCATTCTCCTCTTTAGAGTAGACAATCTTGGTGGATTGCCTACTATTCCTATTAAGAGTTAGCCTTGAGAAACGACTCTGTAAACCTCTTAGAGAAGGCTGTAAAGCACTGTGAAGCGGTATATAAGTCCTAATGCTATTGCTATGCTACTTCAGTATAATAAACAGAGAATATAGATTTTTTGGGGAGAGAGGTAATGGATCATTTAAATAAGCTATCTCATTGCTTGTGCTTTATTTCTGTTTTTGTTTTTGTCACAGAAAATTGACTTGAGCAGCTGTGATTAAAAATAAAACAGTATGTACTTGTTTTTCCCTATATACCTATCAGTGGGTGGTGGAGTAACTACCGTATGCTTCATAATTGGTTTAATTTCTTCCACAGCTAATTCAGTCTAACCTTGTCAGAATTTTCCATGCAATGTTTCTAAACATCAGAGCTTATATTATGCTGCTTCATCACTTACAATGCTCATACTTATACTCTTGTCATATTATCAGTTACAGTGCTCATTGATTGAACACCATAATCAATATCCTTAGTTGTACTAAGATGTTAAAGAAGCTATTTAGCAAGACAGTTTGTTTGAAGGATCTTATATATGACTTTGAGTTAGAATTTTAGTTATTGAGTTACTAAAAAGACTTTTTTTAGAAGTACGACCCCAGGAAGAAATTAAATTGATTTTAGCTGAGTATGCCAGGTGTATTTTTGTCTGTGTATTTTTAACTATTTCATAGTTGTGATATAGGATTTTCAATCTTTTGGAGCTGGGAGGCACATTTGGAAAGTTATGGGCACCCTGACAAAGAACACATTTAGAATTATTGGATTTCATTATGTTTGTTTAGAAAAGGGCTGTCAAAAATAACATGTTATTGTAGATATAATAAGGATAATGCTTCTTTAAAAGATACGTTTCTACATATTAACCCTTACTGTGGCTAAAGGACTGATATTTCAGCATTAGAAAGATAAACATATGACTCAATTTAGTCAATGGATTGAAGATCTGATTGCATTTGCCATATGAGCTGATTGCCTACAGTTGTAGATTTTGTATAACTAGTACAATGAAATATGGGACTCTATACAGAACATACTAAAAAAAGATATTCAGGTAGATGTTTAAAATATTTATGCACTTGAATAATATTTGCATTAGCCAAGCATATATAGATTTATTTGCATTTATTGGTATAATCACATATTGTTTCTTGTCAGTTTTTTCCACTTTTTTATTAAAGCACTTTTAATTTTTTACCATTTTCTTTCACAATGTATAATTGTTACTATTGATTAAAAAGCAATACAAATAAATTTAAATATATATACCATACATTTTTAATTTATATCTTACCATATATATTACATTATATGTAATAATAACTTAATTTTAAAAAATGTTATTAAAGTTTAGAGATACAAAACAAAATATTAATACAAACTAAAAAAAATGAGTAAAAAAAAAGTGCAGAGAAAAAGGTTAAAGAAAGAAAAAGAATATAATAAGGAAAAAATGTATAATAAGGAAATAACATGCTCCTTCATCAGAACAAGTAGAAACAATTCCAGTAATTTATTGTCTTCTCTGGTACTACCACAAAAAAAAACTCTTCTTCCCATATCTCATCTCTAATCTGTAAACTAATTCTTTTTTTTCCCAAAAAACTTTTTAATTTTTAAATTTTTACACATCTGTTTCCGTGGGCAACGTGGTTCCAGATTATAACACTTGTACATAATCATACTTTCATTTTCACCAATCTTATATGATGTCATCTCATCTCATTATCCATTTCACTCATCTTTAAATAAATTTCCATTTCATATTTCAATTCATTAATTCAGTATCAATATCATTTCATCCATATATAGATTCCCAGATCTTTATCCCCTATTATTTCCATTTTCAGCTTACCACCTATTTTATTTAACATTACACATCATTATTATCCTTAATTTTCCCTAAGCCAATTATGTAATAAACAATCTAAAAAAAAAAACCCAATATACACTGCTCAAAAAAATAAAGAGAACACAAAAGTAAGACATCCTAGATCTGAATGAATGAAATATTCTTATTAAATACTTTGTTCATTACATAGTTGAATGTGCTGACAACAAAATCACACAAAAATTATCAATGGAAATCAAATTTAGCAACCCATGGAGGTCTGGATTTGGAGTTACACTCAAAATTAAAGTGGGAAAAAACACTACAGGCTGATCCAACTTTGATGTAATGTCCTTAAAACAAGTAAAAATGAGGCTCAGTAGTGTGTGTGGCCTCCACGTACCTGTATGACCTCCCTACAACGCCTGGGCATGCTCCTGATGAGGTGGCGGATGGTCTCCTGAGGGATCTCCTCCCACACCTGGACTAAAGCATCCCCCAACTCCTGGACAGTTTGTGGTACAATGTGGTATTGGTGGATGGAGCGAGACATGATGTCCCGGACGTGCTCAATTGAATTCAGATCTGGGGAACGGGCA